CCCTTTCTCATTCTGACTGACCATCGTAACCTGGAGTACATCCGGGCAGCTAGGAGACTGAACCCTCGTCAGGCTAGGTGGGCCATGTTTCTGGCTCGGTTTGTCTTTAAGCTCACCTATATACCAGGGTCACAGAATGTTAAGGCAGACGCCCTGTCCCGGCGATATGACACAGAGGAGAGGTCCATTGAGCCCACTCCCATACTTCCGGAGTCTTGTCTGGTGGCACCGGTGGTGTGGGAGGTCGATGCGGAGATCGAGCGGGCGTTACGTACCGACCTTACTCCTCCAGAGTGTCCGGAGGGGCGGAAGTACGTGCCGCTCGAGATCCGTGATCGACTGATTTATTGGGCTCACACGTCACCCTCCTCTGGTCATCCTGGTATTGGCCGGACAGTGCACTGCCTTAGTGAAAAGTACTGGTGGACAACATTGGCAAAGGACGTTTGGGTTTATGTCTCCTCCTGCTCGGTGTGCGCTCAGTGTAAGGCACCTAGACACCTGCCCAGGGGGAAGTTACAACCCCTACCCGTTCCACAACGGCCGTGGTCTCACCTATCGGTGGACTTTGTCACGGACCTTCCCCCCTCCCAGGGGAATACCACTATTTTGGTCGTTGTGGATCGGTTTTCTAAGACCTGTCGTCTCATTCCAATGCCGGGTCTCCCTACTGCCCTACAAACTGCTGAGGCCCTGTTTACTCACGTCTTCCGGCACTACGGGGTACCTGAGGATATAGTGTCTGATCGGGGTCCCCAGTTCACCTCTAGAGTCTGGAGGGCGTTTATGGAACGCTTGGGGGTCTCGGTTAGCCTTACCTTGGGTTTCCACCCGGAGAGTAATGGGCAGGTGGAGAGAGTAAACCAGGATGTGGGTAGGTTTCTGAGGTCCTATTGCCAGGACCGGCAGGAGGAGTGGTAGGGGTATATCCCCTGGGCAGAGATTTCCCAGAACTCACTTCGCCACTCCTCTACTAATCTGACTCCTTTTCAGTGTGTGTTGGGGTATCAGCCGGTTCTGGCACCCTGGCATCAGAGCCAGATCGAGGCTCCTGCGGTGGATGAATGGTTTTGGCGCTCGGAGGAAACATGGAACGCTGCGCATGTCCATCTGCAGCGGGCTATCCGTAGGCATAAGGCGAGCGCCGATCGCCACCGCAGTGAGGGTCCAGTGTATGCACCTGGAGATCGAGTCTGGCTCTCGACTCGAAACCTGCCCCTTCGCCTGCCCTGCCGGAAGCTGGGTCGGCGGTTTGTGGGGCCATTTAAAGTCCTGACGAGATTGAACGAGGTATGTTATAGGTTACAACTGCCCAATGATTATCGCATTAACCCCTCGTTCCATGTGTCTCTCCTCAGGCCGGTGGTAGCTGGTCCACTCCAGGAGAATGAGATACGAGAGGCTCCTCCGCCCCCACTGGACATTGAGGGGGCTCCGGCGTACTCAGTCCGGTCCATCGTGGATTCAAGACGTCGGATGGGAGGTCTGCAGTATCTCGTGGAGTGGGAGGGGTACGGTCCGGAGGAACGGTGCTGGGTGCCTAGGAGGGACATCTTAGATCCCTCCCTCTTGACGGAGTTCCAACGGAGTCATCCCACTCGCCCTGCTCCGCGTCCTCCTGGCCGTCCCCGAGGCCGGGGTCGGCGCACGGCTGGAGCCGTGCGTCAAGGGGGGGGGGATACTGTCACGGATTCTGCCGAGGCTGCTCCTTCTCCTTGCTCGGGCAGGCTTCGGCATTCGTCGTCCCCGGAGTACTAGCTACTGCCGATCAATGTTTTCGGTGTTTGTTTTGTGTTGTCTAGTTAGTACACCTGTTGCATATTAGTGTTGATTGTGTAGCATATAAGTTCCCTTGTTTTACGTTTGGGCTTTGTGTGTTATTGTTCATTGTCTTGTTGATGTTCGGCCTAGCTACTACTTCGGATTACGCATATGGTGTTTTTCCCTCCAGTGTTGGAGACGTTGTTTTGTGCGTAACGCTCAGTAAAGTAGTCAACCTGATTCTCTGTGTCCTGCGTCTGACTTCACTCGCTGCGTACACATCACCTCCTGACAGCACAAGGTGCAATTGCACCTTGTGCATCATCTGTTCCTCTTGTCATGTTAGTCATTGCATACCTTAGAGAGCTGTTTATAACTTGTCAAAAATGTCCAGATCAAGTAGCCCATGTCAGCTAACATTTTTCTATTTCGTTTTTTTAGCCCATAGATATTGTTGTAATTTTTTTGTCACTCAAATATCACATGAAAAGTTTGCTTTAAAACTGCAAAATCTACTTTGCACCCCATGACAAAATGTGTAGAATTTCATGAAATAAGCTTTAAAGCTCTAAAATTCTCTCCACCAGTAAGAGGGGTGTGAGGAGTGTGTGTCATGAACAGTGCTTGTGCCCATAGAAATAGATGGGTGCATGCGTGCGCGCAGGGGGGGGGGGGGGGGGGGGGGGGGGGGGGGGGGGGGGAGAATTGATGTTCCCCAATGCTGGAAGGGGGGCCCCAAGTGAAAAAGTTTGTGTACCCCTTCAGTGTTTTGTTTATTTAATTGTAAAATGTTTTTAAATTATCAAAATCAGCCATCTAGGAGGAGATGGTGTGACAACAGATGTAACGCTTTGAGTCGCTTACTGTTCATGCAGTATTGAAACGATGACATGATGTTAATTGGGATTCCATTGATTTAAGACACTTGCATTGTTATACTGATGATTAATGATTACTGGTGTTGGACAGTGAGTGACAACTGCAGGTGTAGAGATAATGATGAATGAATGATTGGCATTACTCATAAAACATAACCATGTTGGTTGTACAGTACACCAACTGTTTAAAAAAAAAGCCTACTCCACAATATGATTGATGCACACTTCATACTTAGGATGACAACAAGCAATAGTAATTGGTTGCTACTTACTGTACTATGTAAACCTATTTACCATTGTCCTCTGGATTTAGCGGTCCATTTTATGACTAAGTAAAGATGGAGAATTAACACAATCAACAAAGGGGTTACATATTAAACAGATTGCCAAACCAACACAATTCTCCTAAAGAAAACAAACAAGTGCATTACAAAGTAATCAAGCACTTAAATATCAATACACAGAAACAATAACCAGTGCTCATAAAATTGTATCCATTCATATTTAATACAGCACCTATATTTACAGTACAGTAGAAACGACAGCTCTGAAGGCATTACAACTCTATTACAAGTGGTAAACTAAACTACTGTGGAGTGAAAATATGACTTACCTAATTGAAGAGATGGCATTTATATTGATTGTTTAGCAACTACATGATGACAAAGAAACTCAGAGGATGAGGATGTCAGACATTTGCAATACATAGGGTTGATGTGTGGCTAAGCATAAAACAGATGTAGTGGACTTTTAAATGACATCTTTATTGACTGTTTGTCCTATGCCTGTGAAATGAATGTTGGTCTGAGTCTCTTCGCTATTGTTGTTGATGAAATTAGTCTATAGCTGCGTAATAACAAATTGCTTTCTACAAGTGAGGAATGAATATGTGTGATTGATTGAATTTGTAAGCAGGGCACTTAAAAGGTCGTAATTTTTCCATCAGAAGCACAGAACAGAAATTGTGCTTTTTTAAGGTAAACACAGTAGCTGTTATATACAGTGTACATGAATGAGTAGAGTAGATGGGTGTAGCAGCCGTGTATGTGTGAGATTGTAACTTCATATCGTATGTACATATACTCTCTGTGTCTAAAAGTAATATTAAGAAGAACAGTAACATTCAGGTTTGTCATGAGCACTTGGTACCTGTTTGGCTTGTCAGACTCAGTGGTAAGATCATGTTTCCCTATTGAGGAGGCCCAAATACCAGTGTTGTTCTGTAGGTACTGAAAGCCAAACCTCAGGGACCAGCTACAGTAATATGAGTCTTGTAGAGAAAACAGGGTGCAGAGGGGAAGCCTTCCAAACATGGACCCAGCCTGCCCAGCCAGTCTGTCTGTCCAACCTTTTAGGAGCAGTGCAAATGTGTGGCAGCAACAGAAAACTCATCTTCCACCCTATATATTATACTTTTTTTTTTATCTGTCCTTATAGTGTTCTTACACTCACATACAAGTTACTGCCAAAATAATGGAAACACTTGAGTAAATGAGGGATACAAAGTATATTGAAAGCAGGTGCTTCCACACAGGTGTGGTCCCTGAGATAATTAAGCAATTAACATCCCATCATGCTTAGGGTCATGTATAAAAATGCTGGGCAGGCCATTATTTTGGCGACCATGGCTATGCCCCCATAGGATGACAATGCCCCCATCCACAGGGCACGAGTGGTCACTGAATGGTTTCATGAGCATGAAAACGATGTAAATCATATGACATCGTCGTCTCAGTCACCAGATCTCAACCCAATTGAACCCTTATGTGAGATTCTGGAGCATTTTCCACCACCATCAACACAACTTTTCATAGAAGAATGGTGTCACATCCCTCCAATAGAGTTACTGACACTTGTAGAATCTATGCCAAGGTGCATTGAAGCTGTTCTGGCTCGTGGTGGCCCAACGCCCTATTAAGACACTTTATGTTGGTGCTTCCTTTATTTTTGGCAGTTACCTGTATATTGTACATACTTGCATTCTCACACACTCTCTCTGCTAAATAAATAGGCATTGTTTTAGCTGCAGGACTTGCGTTGTGTGTGTGCGTGTGTGTGTGTGTGTGTGTGTGTGTGTGTGTGTGTGTTTGCGTGTATGTGCGTGTGTGTGCATGCGTGTGTATTTGCTTGCATGTGCATATGTGTGAGAACACTGAGGAAGTACTACGGTCATTACATGCTAGTCCCAGAGCCACGTGTAGCAAAGGCATATTGGTGACCCAGAGCAGTTGTTGTCCTCTTTCTCTCCTCCCCTCTCCACTTCCTTTTATCGCAGTCTTTAGCATTCAGCTACATCCTGAAGTAGGCCCCCAGGCCAATGACAGAAGCTAATTTGGTTTTGGGGGTGGGGGTGACGTTTTAAAAATCTTTGTCCCAGCCAGAGTTGTCATCTGGGGGCGGGTCTTCATTGTCCTCTGGGAAGTTGTCAAAGTTACTTGTGTCCGTTGATGATGTCACCTGATTGACAGAAAAATACAGAATTGAGCCACTTGAAACCCTGATGCAAACAGCTTGCTGCAAAAATGTTGGTTTGTGACTTACATTAGGGATGATAGGGGGTGTCAGCGTTCCCTTCCTTAGACCTTCCCAGTTAAAGCCCTCAAACCATCTGTAAATGTATAGACATTTTTTAAGTAACTGTCCAGTGAAAATCTCACCTATAAAAGTTAATATTCTGGTAACTCATACCGAAGTAATGTTGTTGACAAAGCATAAATAACAAATAAATAAAATCTAAAATCCCACCTCAAACTTTATCTCAAACAGACCGTTTAAAAAATGCTTGCTATTTCCTCATAGAGGATGATGTCATTCTCCTGAGGAGGATGAGCTGGCCAATCAGCCGTCTACTCGCATGAATATTTTTAATGACCGGTATACGCCCACACCATTCTGTTGTTGGGGTACGCCCACACCATTCCAACAAAGAAAAACTGATTTTTAACATACTTAGTTTCAATTTTTTGGAAGGAGAACTATTTAACTCATATTGTAATTAATTACAGATCATATTTCATAGAAATCTGGAAACACTGGACAGTTACTTTAAATATATAAACATGGGAAGATGAGTAGATAAATATGGCTATCCATTACCATTAACTTACTTGTGCTTTTGGATGTCTTTGACACCATTTTTCAAGTTTCCCAGTCTTTCCGAAGGATTGTCCCTAAAATGGACACATTTGGATCAATGGATCATTAATAATCTTGCTAACACTAAATTACATTCAACAGTAATTGTTGAGTGTGGACAAAATGGTTTGGGACTCACCTGCATAGTTTTTTTATTAAGTTGGCAGCATTTTTGGTAATCTTCTTTGGAAATTCGATCATGTCAATGCCCCTCAGGATGATGTTATATGTCTTCATGGGATCAGGGCCAGAGAAGGGAGGGCTGGAAGACATGGGTGGAGATAGACACTCAATTCTATCCCAATCTCAATTAACATCTGGCCTTACACTTTTATTTAAGAGTAATTATCAGGTTTGTCTGTACCTGCCAGTGAGGAGCTCAAACATGAGGATTCCTAGAGACCAGTAGTCAGCTGAGATGTCGTGGCCTTTGTTCAGAATGATCTCTGGTGCCACGTATTCTGGTGTTCCACAGAACGTCCATGTTTTCTTCCCAAACCCGATCTTCTTGGCAAAGCCAAAGTCCACCTATACAAAGGACATGGGAAACACATTCTTAGAGGTAACCTACAGCGTTAATATATCAAAGGGTTAGAGGTTTAGGTCATCAAGCTCTGAATCCACATTGTTGTGTGTCTCTTACTAGCTTGGCATAGCCCCTGTGGTCCAGTATAAGGTTCTCTGGTTTGAGGTCTCTGTAGATGATCCCTTTGGAATGCAGGTAGGCGAATGCTTCCACCACACACGCTGTGTAGAACCTGGTGGTTGAATCCTCAAATGAACCCCTGGAGAAGGAAGTATCAATAACCTCTTTAAAATAAGTCACATTTTAAACAGGCACACATCGACTATCACTTCCACAGACTCACTGAAACACATGTGGGCACAATGAAATTAGTTGAAATATTGACCTAAGACTCACCGGTCTCTAAGAATGGTCCACAGCTCTCCTCCCAGACAAGCCTCCATCAGCATGTAGAGGTACTTACTGTCCTTAAACGTCCTGTACAGTCTGAACACAAAACACAGAGTGCAAAGATATCAAGACAGTGGTGAGGGAGGGTGGGTCCTCTGTATGTTTTACTGTGAATTAAAAGTGTCTGTGGAAAGGCGTTGCATGCAAGTCTCTACCTGACAATGAAGTCAGAGTGGGCCTCCTGCATGATGAGTTTCTCAGAGCGGATATGCTCTTGCTGTCGCGTGTCCACGATGTGACGCTTCTTCAGGATCTTCATGGCAAACGTCTTCACCTCATCACTCTTCAGCTGGACCTGTCGACAGAGGAGAGAGGAGAGCACTGTTAGCTCTAAGCAACGGTTAAATGAAACATCAATGCAATACAATGTAAGTGGCAGCTTAGCCTCTTACGCTTCCTAGTGTGGACCCACACTTATCGCTAACATAGATTCCAGAAGAGTGAACAGTCCCTTTACAAGTCAGAATGTTGAATAAACTTTAATTTTAACTTTGCCATTTGTCCTCTAAATTCGTCCTTATGCCGTTGGAAATTTGAGACAAAATATCCACAGGAAAGTGTCATTAAACCGACTTCAAAACACGGGTCTCCCACGGTTTGTTTGTTCACCTGATGTACGCACACACATTGTAAATACATGCTCGCGATGCATGCATACTAATCAAGCTCATGCAGGTGTTTGCATGGTTTTGCGCATGTGCCAGGTGATAGAATGGCAGTACCAGCATTTAAAAAATGTGTTTAGTGATACGTTTCTGTGGATACTTTGTCTCATATTTTTTGCATAAGTGGACAACCGGCAGAGGAAGTTCAAATGACAGTTTATTCAACATTCTGGCAACACAAGTCTATACAAGGCACCTTTCGTTAAGCTATAGCTTGATATTAGGTCAGGAGGCCGGCAAGTGGCAGCTGTGGTTCCTACCAGCTCTACGCGGCCAAAGCCACCAACCCCCAGTGTGTCGATGATGTTGAAGTCAGCCAGGTTGAGGTTGGAGAAGAAAGAATTCTCTACTTCGTACCTGCAGGGACAGACAAGACATGTTCATTCAATTGAACGGTCACCCTCCCCTTGTCCTGGCAAGACACAGGGCCATTTTCCACACGCCCAGTCGCCGATATCCCCAACTCCCAGTGTCCTCTCTTGTTTTTAGTTTAATCCAGTGGGCCTTATCAGCTTAATGGTGTGATTGGGGGAAAAAAATCACAAAATTCACTGGGAATACATTACATAGGATGCAGAAACAATACTCTGAGCTGCAGCTCCATACTACTTGTCAGACACAGAGAACTGACACTATATACTCGTTGTTGGGGTGGGATTGGTGTGGGTGGTCCATGGGTGGCTTTTGACCATTCCTTTGGATTCCTCATGTCTAAGTTGTCATTGTTAGAAAAAAAGTTTGGTCCAAATCGGATGTTAGGTACTATATTTATTGAATATGATATGAATCCTATAAATTAAAATGGCCAATTTGAATGCAATCAATTAGCTTTTTTGCAGAGATCAAATTATATTTCAACAAAATAATGTTGCAGGAAACTATTTCAGAACAATCCGAGATGGTGGTTGTCGAAATCCTCTTTCTTGTGCTTTTTGAGGTGGAACTACCCAGTTGTCCCCTCTCTCTGTCAAGAGTGTCACAAGTCAAGGGGTGATGGTTAAGGCCAGGAGTTTTTCCTGACCAAGTGACCTGAGGAGGGATGCGTTACAGCTCAATTCAGCCCTACCTCAGTCAACAGCTCATTTGGTGTTGTAAGACTAGCTAATGACCACTAGATGGAGAACTTGTACCATTATCATCACAGGTAAAAGACAGCAATAGCTAAACCAAACTATTATTTCTGTAGTTGAGCATGAAAGTAAGAATAAATTCATTAAAATGTGTAGAATTGTGGAGAATAGCAGATATTCTGAAAAACAATTAGTTATTCTATACAAGTGTGATGAAACAAATATATACACCCCCCTGTTTCTTGCAAATCTGGTCAAATTCATTTTGAAAGATGAGATCCTTTATGAGATACAACAATACAACACAAACGTTTGTATTGTATACAACCACCTTGAATCCAACTGCACAACCTGTGATGGAATTATTCTGAAAGATATTAACAATTTATCATATTGGACACAATGCAGAATATTGTACAGTAGGTTCCAGGACAGACTCTATTCACTGTCTGTCTCAGACGGAGGCCTCACGACAGTGACCAACACAAAAGTATCTCTCTCCATTCTCGTCTTTTTCCAGGAAGTAAGCATAACAGTGAACCGTTATTTTAATTTATACTTCCCCAAAAAAGGAATTTCAGTTTGGGAGGCTGACATTTCAAATCTACCATACTCTGAGGTACACACAGCCATGTAGCCTGAAATAACTGTATGTAAGGTTTACAACAACAGGTTTAAATATGCCATACTGACTTTCAACAAAGAACAAAATACTACCAAAAGAGTTCCCAAAGGTGTCATAAAACCATGTTTAAACCACGGTTTTTGGTCTAAACCACAGTTTTTGTTTGTCCTCAACTTGTCTCACAACATTACCCTGCTCTGAGCTGGCATCTCTTTATGCCAACAACAATAACACACCAAAGCACCAAGGTGCCCCTGTGCCAGGGTGCCTGGTGTCTGGTGCTATGCTCCTGTTTCCACGGTTACAGATAACATATTGGTTCCTCCAAGGGGTGCGGTAGAGGTCACGACTTTCACTTCCAGGTCTGTCACCAGAGAATTTACCAAACCACAAAGCCAAGTAAAGCCAGCTAATAAAATTAGAAATGAGTAGACAATGAAATAAATAAATGTGACTTACCTAGCCTTGGCCTCAGCATCCTCACAGCCTTTACTGGACACCTCCTCCAACCCTCCAATCAGGTGCTTGAACGAACTGCAGCACAGGAATTGAAACAGTGTTTGTGAGAAATGTTGATCAAGACATTGATCCCATTCCATTGAAGAAGCTGTTATATCTTGATATATACTGTATGTATTGTTGTCTCTTTAAGTAATTACGTCAGTTGTCTAAATGACAAAAACATTGCTAATTGGTGTTGTGGTTCATTAACAATTCCAGCTCCAGCCCATTGATAATTGTAATTGATAGGATGTACTTAATAGGCAGGTTTCTATAGATATCCCTAGCCATTTATTCTCCATATGACTCATCTAGTGCAGCTGTGTATTGCATCTTTATAGTACATATGAAAACGTTATGAATGTTTAATAAACCTTTATAAGATTGTTGTTTGAAGTGGAAACCACTTGGTCTCACTTTACAAGACCATCTGTTTACTTTATAATACCCAGATTCCCTACATATATCATCTCTATTTGGATGTGCTTGAACCCTAGACCCATAAATCATTAAGCTAATACTCATGAATATGAAAATGATGGATAATAATGATAAAGATGCATTTAAATTGAGATGTTTACAGCTGAAAGACCAGATGACAACCCTGGCTGACAAGGTTAAATCCTCTTCCCAAAATACCCACATGGTGACATGCATACACACACACACACACACACACGAGTGCGCACACATGCAAGCACACACATCTGTGCTGGAATTTCCCTCTCACCATTATCCCCTGACTCTCATTCTCTCTCTCTTTCCTTCCCTCTCTCTTCCCTCTCCTTCTTTCCAGAAAAATTGCAGGCTGCCTGCCACCCTTAACGTCTCTCTCACCCTGGCTCCAAACCCAACCAGTTCTGGGTGACATATGGCAAGCTGGCTATGTGAGGTGATAGAGCATTTGCAGTCTGTGTGACAGACAGAGAGACAGACCATAATAATCACCACTCTCATTTAGATGACTCACTCACTAAGACACAGGGTTGCCCATGAGAGGCCTGCTCCATAACAGGGGCTAAATTGACACCACCAAGCCCTGCTCTTGCATTACAGCTAACTGATATACTGCCTGGTGTTATTGGTGACACAATGACAGACCATGATTTAATAATGAGACTTTGTTTATCCTAGAGTCGATGTCTGCACACCCGTGGAAATTAAATTAGCATAATAAAAAAATCCCTATCAAAATCTATCTGTTTAAATGAAATATAATTGTTTACATGGGCTGTGTCTCAATTTACCGCATCCGCTAATGGCGGCCTTCCGCATCTGCATGGAGGGTGGCCAAGCTATAGCGGTGTTTATCAGACCATGAGACATCCCGAAAAATGGTATTTTCACAAAAAAGCCTGTAGCGTCTGAGCAGTTTGGGCTACACACTAATATGACCCCTCTATGGAAAGGTGAGACTCTCTGAAAATGTACATGTTTTGCTCTAGGGTGCCCACAAGCCTCACAAGACTCGTCTGATGGTAGCCCAGTACCAGTTTATAAAAAAATAATGGAAGTACAGTATACATTAAAGTAGTTTAGTGTCCCAATAAAATCCTGATCTTTCTTATATCGCTCAGATATACGACACTTTAAAACAAACTTGGTTTTAATTTATTCTATCTGTTTTTCCATGTTTTCTATGGGCGAATAGCAGTAAGGCCAAATTCAATGTTTCATCCAATAATGTTTTTTTATTTAAAATATTATACCTAAAGTGGTCCTAAAATTAAAGAACAAATAGTTAAATGGTATGACCATCTTAAAACAATTCCATGTGTTTGCTTAGTAGAACCCCCCCCCCCAGCTTAGACTCTTAAGGAATAATGTCACTTACTGTACATATCTTGTAGATCAACATTAATTTCATTTGAAAGAATGTAATTAATTAAATAAGTGGCTCAGTTGGTAGAGTACAGCGTTTGCAATGTCAGGATTGTGGGTTTGATTCCCAGGGCCACTGATACAAAAAATTTATGCACGCATGACTGTAAGTCGCTTTGGATAGAAGTGTCTGCTAAATGGCATTTGTTATGTGATATTCTTGACCAAATTATCAAAACCATTTCAGAATACAAAAGGAGGTACTGAGGATGTTTTGAACACTCACTCTCTGTCAATGACCAGACATGTAACAGTCTCTGCAGCGATGACGTTTGCTGTCCTGATGTCCTCCCTGGAACACACATAGTCATTAGTAACAAACATTACTCAAAATACAGCAGCACCTTATTTGATCAAACATTAATGACTAGGTTTGTGCTTAAAATGATTTTTTTTTTTATTACAAAATAAAAACATTTTGTTCCTAATTTTGATAAATCATTCAAACACTGCTATACAATCAACACAATAATATTCCATAGAAAGACATTTAATATATAAAAAAATGACTTTCCGATCGAAACATTTCATCATAGGATTATAAAGCTTTGTTTTGACAAATACATGGACATTAGCGACAGGTAATGGTAACAAAGTATAGCCAGCTTTACTCTGTATTGTCAGTGAAACCATCAATATCCTCTTCTTTCGAGGACTCGTCTCCCCAGTCGCTCTCAGAGTCTGAGTCGTCCCAGGACTCCATAGCCCTCCAGTCTAACAAGCACGACTGGTCCTCACACACAAACACCGTATCACTGTGCACAGTAAAATCTACACTTAAAGCTGGGTAGGCGAGTCCATGCAAGCTGTCTACACAAACTTGCAGATCTCAGAGTCAAGTGATACCACTCTATGACACATTGAAACCTATTCTACTTTATCCAAATTCATAACAGGAAAACTCTGTTGCCAAAAGACGAGCATACACTAAATACAGTACAAAATACAGTACTAAACAAGAACGGAATCAAGCTTTACATCAGAACGGTGAGAACGCGTATCACCATTAGAGCTGTTGACATGTGAGTCAAGTCACACTCTGGTGTCAAAGCAGGGGAGGAATGACCCATATGTATTCACAGCTACGCAACTTCTTTCACATGGACCAAGGTGACAAGTCCTTCTCATGCCATCCAGCCTCCTCATACACCCCCCCACCACCACCCACTTTCCAAACACCCACTATCTGAAAAGGTCACAGCTGCTGGAAACGACAAGGGTTTCACCAGTGGAGTGGAGTGGAGAGGAGAGGAGAGGAGAGGAGAGGAGAGGAGAGGAGAGGAGAGGAGAGGAGAGGAGAGGAGAGGAGAGGAGAGGAGAGGAGAGGAGAGGAGAGGAGAGGAGAGGAGAGGAGAGGAGAGGAGAGGAGAGGAGAGGAGAGGAGAGGAGAAAAAAAGAGAAGAGGCAACCATTTAGGAGTGCTGGGGTAAAGACACAGTGAAAGGAGAGAGAGAGGGGCTTTTCTCACATGGGCACGCACAAGGCATATGAAGGAGGGAGGCTGAAGGGGGAGAAGGGGGGTATTAAGGAACTAAATCCAGTCCCTGAGTGGTACATCCTGGTACTTGCCATCGTAAACACCTGCTCAGTGTGAATTGTGACTATGTGCCAAATGTAGCCCCTCTGCCATTGTGCTACTGTTGTCAACAGTGTTTTGGCAGGTACACCTGTCTCAAGAGGACAGGGCACATTTATTTTTCCTTCTTCATGTAGAAAAAATGCACACAAACACACACGGACACGTACACGTACACACACACATTATATCCCTGTGAGTTCCTTATTGCTTTCTATCTCAGATAATGAACAGAGCACTTTACCCTAACTAATACACACACAGAGACTAAGCTGCCACCTGTGCTAATTTGCCTCATAAAAAGGTGCACAGTGTTTGTATTATTTACACACCATGGTGATTCCCTTTCATTAAGACACCAACAACCCAATACAGCCCGGTGGGTGGGATAGTGGACCTTAGTGGATCCCGTGATGTCTTTTTTTGCTGTCAAATTGTTGATATTGACGATAGTAGTTGTCAAAAAAAATCTGCTGTCTGTTAACCTCTGCAAATAATTTATTTGCACCTTCACATTTGCTTGTAAACACAGAGAGAGAGAGAGACAGAGAGAGAGACAGAGAGAGGGACAGAGAGAGAGACAGAGAGAGAGACAGAGAGAGAGAGCAGCTGCATATGTTTGAAATGTCCCTTAGAGCAGCACAGCAGAGAGCCGGCCGGCGGTGTCCATTTCCAGTTGAGCATTTGAATTCAACTGGTAATTGGATGGTGCTCTGGTGTCCTAAGGAGGGGGTTATGAAAATACAGGCTGGGGTGGGGCCTGACACCAGCACCAATCAAATTGTTTCCATTTTCTGTCAACGTCACACTCTTTAAAAATCTCTCATCCTCTACTGACCCTCCTATCAACCCACACACATTAATGCACACAAGCACAAGCACAAGCACACGCACAACCACACACACAAACATACTCCCCCGAATGACAGAATGGTGCAGCATAGAACACATTGTCTGAACTGTTGATGGATCTACACCTCAAATGGGAGCTCACATCTCACAATGGTAGGAAGAATATGACATCAGATGTTGTGCTGACCTATCGGGGACAAAAAATATGTTTCTCTTTTCCTAGAACATCTACCAACGAGATGAATGTACATGATACACTCTCTTCTTAGGTTATAGTATCAAATCAAATGTATTTGTCACTCAATCCACCGCATCTGCCGATGTCGCACTCTGCGGTGAAAGGTGACAGAGCTAAAGCAATGTTTGTCAGACCATGAAACATCCCAAAAATCAGTCTTCTCACAAAATCATCTGTAGCGTCCGAACAGTTTGGCCTACAAACTATTATGACCCCTCCATGGAAAGATGAGACTCTCACGAACACGATGGTGTTCTCCGTGTTTCTACCTCTTGGGACTCATCTGAAGTCGGTACAGCCGATCTGCCAACTTCTGTCTGTAGCGTCCGAACAGTTTGCTATACACACTAATATGTGGAAAGGTGTGACTCTCACGAACACGTACACTACCGGTCAAAAGTTTTAGAACTTTATTTTTACTATTTTCTACATAGTAGAATAATAGTGAAGACGTCAAAACTATTAAATAACACATATGGAATCATGTAGTAACCACAAAAGAGTGTGCAAAGCTGTCGTCAAGGCAATGGGTGGCTATTTGAAGAATCTCAAATGTTAAATATATTTAGGTTTGTTTAACACTTTTTTGGTTACTACATGATTCCATATGTGTTATTTCATAGTTGTGATGTCTTCACTATCATTCTACAATGTAGAAAATAGTAGAAATAAAGAAAAACCCTTGATTGACCAGAAGTCCCCACAAAAATAGTAAACAAACACAAATTTGACCAACTGGGGACATTTTGTTGGTCCCCACAAGGTCAAATGCTGTTTCTAGGGTGTTTAGTGTTAGGGTTAGAATTAGGTTTAGGGTTAGGGTTAGGAGCTAGGGTTAGTTTTAGGGTTAGGGTTAGGAGCTAGGGTTAGTATTAGGGTTAGCAGCTAGGAGCTTGGGTTAGGGTTAGAGTACGGGTTAGGTTTAGGTTTAGGGGTTAGGGAAAATTGGATTTTGAATGGGACTGAATTGTGTGTCCCCACAAGGTTAGCTGTACAAGACTATCTGTGTGTGTGTATGTTTTGTGTGTGTAAGCATATGTAGTGTGTGTGTGTTTTGGAGTGTCAGTGTAGGATATGTGTGGGTAGAGTCCAGTGAGTGTGCATAGAAGCAGTGCAAAAGAGTTGGTGCAATTTGTTTGGCTATTCACTACTTCGCTATTTCACTATATATTCTAAAATAAGATTCAATTGAAAACTTTTGGTGTTTAAACGTGTATTTGTTTGATTCTCATTTACCTCACCTGTGGTAAGTTGCAGGGGCCTACCAAGTAAAAATAGCCATTCAACTAGATTTGAAAAGAAAAAACGGAACATTCTGCAAAAAACGGAACAACTCCATTGTAAAGTGCAAGGGTGCCAACATATTTGGCTCTCAAGGCACTTCACATTGTGTCAGGAGGGAGATAATTTAAGCCATGAGATGCATGTGGTTAATGGGGGGTATGCACACAACATACATTCTAGTCACAATTCTGAATTAATGCACTTTAGCATCCATTGCCACAGAGCACCTGCCAAGGAGAAAGAGGAAGAGGGATAGAGATTGAAAGGGAGAGACAGAGGGGGAGGTAGAGAGAGAAAGTAAGATAAATGAAGGAAATAGAGGGAGGTAAAGAGAGAGATAGAGAAGAGAGGGGGGCAAGGAGAGGGAGCGAGAGGTGCGGGTAGAGGGTTTATCAGTCTTACCCCTGCATGGCCTTCTCTCCGAACCAGTCTCCTTTCCCCATGCTGCGGAGGTAGACAGGATCCCCGTTGGACTTGTCTTCCCTGGTCACATTCACCTGGACACAGGGGTGGGGGTACCAGTTTAAATCCATGAGGGGGAGTGAGCAATTACACATTCTGAGAGAAGGGACCTATGGGACAGACTCAATCTCAGCCATCACTTTACTGTGATAAGCCATGTGCTACACTGTACATCAAACCCTTCTGTAATGTACATTTCTGTAACTGTACGGTTCACTAATCACTACATTATTAAACATCAGAGTGAGGCTAATGCAGAGCAGGGGCGATGGATATCTCTGTGCATGCTAAATCCTTCTACATCTTATATGGACTTCTTGGTGCTATGGTCTGTGAGGAGCCACTGACCAGGTCATTAGCTAGCTGACAACTGAGCAATGGAGGTCCAGCAGAACTGACCAGAGTGTGATGAGGTGATGTCGAAGGAGTCAGGCGCTGGAGGGTAAATCACAGAATAACAGGCTTTATTCCGCAATTACAGAGTTACGCAGAAATGCGTCAAAACACTCTAGTGCGCAAAACAGGCGCACTGGAAAATACACGGCACACTGGGAAATATCGCGGCAATACAAAATGCACGGCGCTCCACCGAGCTTCACTATCCTCCACAATAAACAATCACACACAAAGACAAGGTGGCAGAGGGAACACTTATACAGGTACTGATGAAGGGATATCAACCAGGTGTGTGTAATAAACAAGACAAAACCAATGGAATGATGAGATGCAGAGCAGCAGTGGCTAGAAGGCTGGTGACGACGAACGCCGAAGCCTGCCTGAACAAGGAGAGGTGGCAGCTTCGGAGGAAGTCATGACACAGAGTAAATATATAGAAGGTTGTTTGTCTTAATTAAGGCTTCTATCTTTATTCATTAGCCAGTTGTATTCAGGTATAACATCACGTCCTCCAGAAACACATAATCACGCTGAATAAATCTAAAGGAGAGCGATAATTCAACTTTTAATATGATCTGGAGGACAGAAAGGGAAAGGAAGAGCCAGGAAAAGAAACAGAGGGATTGAGAGAGAGAAGGAGAGACGAATGTGGACAGGGAAGGATAAAGGGCAGCGAGAGAGAGAGAGAAAGAGAGAGAGAGATGTTTGTTCTACTAGTTGAGACAGATAGATACATCTTGATCATTTGAATGGGTTGTTGACCTTATTTGTCTCCTTAGCTGGGACAGAAGGTGACATGTCTGGCTGAGAGCTCTGGATCTCTACCACCCTCTCTAACCACTTTCAGTACTGCACCAGACCCCCCAACACCTGACTTGTTGATCAATATGATGGTGTCAGATGATTTGCTTTCTAATCGTGTTAATGATGATGATGATGATGATGATGGTAGCAGTGACAATCCATGTTTTTCATTAAAGATGGTCATTATAATAATGACAATGATAACAATGAGGATGATGATGATGATGATGATGATGGTCTCACCATTCCCTTACTGATGATAAAGAAGGTGTCTCCTGTGGCTCCCTGTCTGATGATGTACTCTCCATCCTCATAGTGTGTCTGTAATGAAACAGGAGAGAGGAGAAGAGAAATGAGAAGGATGAGTCACCCAGACACCTCTCAACTCCCTCTGTCTAATACACCCTATCCCCCCATGGGTGAGACACTTTGGACACCTTGCCTTGGTGAAAAAGTTTTTCCTCAGGATTGGATCTTAGTTATGTTAGAGCCTCAATCTGACCTTGTTGCCTTACAGAAAGCCCAGGTTGGTTTAAAACTTGTACTTGCGGGCAACACTAAATACATGTTGTTCTCTAATTCTCACAAAAATGTTTGTTCATATTTATTCATTGGATGGTTCTCCCATCGATCGGGTTCCCGCCTATAAATATCTGCGCATTTAGATTGACAAAGATTTAATGTTTAAGAAACATACAGATGTGCTACTTAAAAAGCTAAGATTTAAAGAGGGCTTCTTCTTTAGAAATAGCAGGAAGCAGATTGTACAGTCAACTTTCCTGCCAGTCCTTGACTATGGTGACACCATTTACCAGATTGCAGCAGCCACTACTCTTAAAACTTTAGATGCCGTCTACCATAGCGCCCTTCGCTATATCACAGGTGACAGTTTTAATACTCATTACCGCATCAAAAGGTTGGCTGGTCCTCATTGAAGTCCCATAGATCACTTCATTACTCCCTTTTTGTGTACAAAGCTCTACTACACAAGCTTCCAACTTACCTAACTTAGTTGCTAAACTATAAAAGAATGAGCTATCAAACCCATTTCGCAGGGTTGGTTATTTCTTGAGGTCCCTCTGGTCTCGACCAATTTAGGTATATCCTCCTTTAGTTTTAGTGCCCCCCATTGTTGGAATAACCTGCAAAATTCCTTGCATCTTGATTCCCTGGTGCAGCAAGGGCAGATTATGACTCCGGTGTTAGATTAATTCATTGAGGATGCAGTTGTTTCGATTAACTGTAATGATTTATTTGTTGACATTGTAGTATTCTAATTGTACCTTGTGTTTTTTTTATTCTTCTTGTTTCATTTTCTTGATTGTGAAAATGGTGCACCATTGTGAGACTCTGGTCTCAATTGGGCTTCTCTGAATAAATCAAACAAAAAGCAAAGTCTCCCAAAGCAACAATCAAAGCTTCTTCTGACACCTGAGAACATCATACCTTTGAAAGCACACACATTCACAGACACAAGCACAAAGGCACAGGTGCACGTGCATGTGCACGCACGTACATGCACACTCCCTATTCTTCACACTCACCTGTTCTCTTAATTTGAAAGCATCTCCATGAACCTCATGCACGTGCACACACACACGCACACACACACACAGGAAGGTGTGTTAACCTGTAAAGACTACGTGAAACACACTGCTGTCTATCTAGGCAAAGATGGTTGGATGTGGTATGTGAGAGTGAGTATCTGGCCATTATAAGACAAAGCTGTGTGACAATTAGCAGCAGAGGGCTTGTAGAGGGCTCAGCTCACTGACACACTTTGACCAATGTGCCACAGCCCATAGAAATTGAATGCATGGTTCACCCTAGTAGTCAATTCCTGTTCTATCGATCTGCCCCAATATGCCTGATATCAATAGAGGTTAGATCACTGTAGATTGAATAATCACTTTCTACTAGACTCCACACAGTGTTTATTTATTTTGCTTGGCTAGCTTGTGTGCTACATCATTGATAATTACAAATAATTTGTAATTGGATGCTTTTTGAAAGTTCATGCCAATTTATGATTGTAAATAATTGTAGCTGATTTACACAATAAAATAGAGACACATTTTCCTCAGTCACAAAATACACAATACCCTTTCTGTGTATTTCCTCTTTGGAATTATACTATTTTATGTACTTTAGTCCACGGCAGTGATTCTGTATGTTATCTGTATGAGGGAGTCAGAGTGGAATGAGAGAGAGAGAGAAATGGCATACAGTATTGAGCCAATACAGCTTTGTCAGTCTGACCACACATACTACAGTATCAAAATCAAATCAAATCACATTTTATTTGTCACATACACGTGTTTAGCAGATGTTATTGCGGGTGTAGCGAAATGCTTGTGCTTCTAGCTCCGACAGTGCAGTATGACTATATGTCTCAGTATGTCTTAGCCAAATCAATATGACAGCACCTGATTGACATTAGAATGAACAGTACTATGGTGAATACAAAAAAGTATTGAATGACACAGAGGTGCTCTCACAAACATGTTGTTAACATTTTATTATCGTTGTTTTTGATTGTGTTTGACAGTCAGTGTTTGTCCCAAACGTTGGTCAGATGGTCTGTTATTTTTAAGCCCATTGTTTCATTTTACCACTGTAGTCAGGATGGTTCTCTTTTTTCTACGGAATGGCAGGCGATTTACACAAATGCTATAGCCAGTGGTGGAAAAAGTACCCAAATGTCATACTTAAAAGTAAAAGTAAAGATACCTTCATAGAAAATGACTCAAGTAAAAGTGAAAGTCACCCAGTAAAATACTACTTGAGTAAAAGTTTTAAACTGTTTGGTTTTAAATATACTTAAGTATCAAAAGCAAATGTAATTGCTAAAATATACTTAAGTATCAATTATAAAAGTAAAAGTATAAATAATTTCAAATGACCATAAGGCACCATTTTCGTTTTTATTTTATTTACGGATAGCCAGGGGCACACTCCAACACATAATTTACAAACAAATAATTTGTGTTTAGTGAGTCCGCCAGATCAGAGGCAGTAGAGATGACCAGGGAAGTGTGTGAATTGGACCATTTTCCGGTCCTGCTAAGCATTTTGGGTGTCAGGTAAAATGTATGGAGTAAAAAGTACATTATTTTCTTTAGGAAAGTAGTGAAGTAAAAGTAAAAGTTGTCCAAAATATAAATAGTAAATAAAGTACAGATACAGTGGCTTGCGAAATGATTCACCCCCCTTGGCATTTTTCCAATTTTGTTGCCTTACAACCTGGAATTAAAATAGTTTTTGGGGGGGTTTGTATCATTTGATTTACAGAACATGCCTACCATTTTGAAGATGCAAAATATTTTTTGGGGTGAAACAAACAAGAAAAAAAAAAATAACAGAAAACTTGAGCTATTCACCCCCTCAAAGTCAATACTTTGTAGAGCCACCTTTTGCAGCAATTACAGCTTCAAGTCTCTATAAGCTTGGCACATCTAGCCACTGAGATTTTTGCCCATTCTTCAAGGCAAAACTGCTCCAGTGCCTTCAAGTTTACATTTACATTTAAGTCATTTAGCAGACGCTCTTATCCAGAGCGACTTACAAGTTGGATGGGTTCCGCTGGTGTACAGCAATCTTTAAGTGATACCACAGATTCTCAATTGGATTGAGGTCTGGGCTTTGACTAGGCCATTCCAAGACATATAAATGTTTCCCTTTAAACCACTTGAGTGTTGCTTTAGCAGTATGCTTAGGGTCATTGTCCTGCTGGAAGGTGAACCTCCGTCCCAGTCTCAAATCTCTGGAAGACTGAAACAGGTTTTCCTCAAGTATTTCCCTGTATTTAGCGCCATCCATCATTCCTTCAATTCTGACCAGTTTTCCAGTCCCTGCCAATGAAAAACATCCCCACAGGATGATGCTGCCACCACCATGCTTCACTGTGGGGATGGTGTTCTCGGGGTGATGAGAGGTGTTGGGTTTGCGCCAGACATAGCGTTTTCCTTTTCCTTTTTCGATACTAGAACATGAAAAACGGTACGGTCCTAGCATTTAAAAAAAAGTTTGGTACTTCTATCAAATGTGTCTCATATCATCTACTGATTGAGAGAGGATCAATTCTGCCTATCAGCGCAGCCGATGTCCCCTTATAGCACGAGAGCACCGTCCCTGCTCCACTTACTCATTGCTAGCTCTAGCTTGTCCTGAGGAACCACTGCACTCACTGGGAGTCTGGGCTACATCATGTTAGCTCACCACTCATGCTGCACAGAAGTTAACACATTTGAATAATGCAACACGGCATGTTGAAATGTTGCAGCTGTTAATTACTGTTTGCAAAACAATCTCCATTACAGGCTAGAACACTTTACAATGCAAAAAGATACCGGTAGCTTCCAGCTTAGTACGCTAACTTCCCTTGCTAGCTTACAGCTGAAGCTGTCATGAATTCACTACCCTAGTAATTTGTTTTTGATAATCTGAACAATACAGATAAAGACAGAGAACAGGTATAAACATCACTCTAAGCAAGAAGTGATGATCTGAAGTATTTGAACAATGAGATTCCTTCAATAATTTAAATGACTCCTTCAAGAATTTGAATTATATAAAAATTGTATGTGTTGTTACATTATGACACATTGCATTTTTTATATTTTTTACTTTTACACCTTTTTCATGATATCCATTTGGTGGTTACAGTCTTGTCCCATCGCTGCAACTCCCCTAAGGACTTGGGAGAGGTGAAGGTCGAGAGCCATGCGTCCTCCGAAACATGACCCTGCCAAGCCCCACTGCTTCTTGACACACTGCTCACTTAACCCGGAATCCAGCCGCACCAATGTGTCGGAGGAAATACCGTCTAGCTGGCGACCGAAGTCAACTTGCAGGCACCCGAGCGCGATGGGACAAGGAAATCCCGGCCGGCCAAACTCTCCCCTAACTCGGACAACGCTGGGCCAATTGTGCGCCGCCTCATGGGTCTCCCGGTCACGGCCTGCTGTAACACAGCCTGGGATTGAATCTGGGTCTGTAATGATGCCTCAAGCACTGCGATGCAGTGTCTTAGACCGCTGCACCACTTGGGAGTCCCTGACACTGCATTTTCAAACAGAAGTAAACAGGGTTCTTGACTAGTGCAATAACATCTACCTCATACTCAACATCAACAAAACAAAATAACTGCTCATTGACTTCTGGAGGATGGCAGACACAGTGAGCCACCTATTCCTGGGATGTGATTAGGTAGATAGATTGGGGAGATGTAAGTACCTGGGAACCATCATGGACAGCACACTCTCTTTTAATGTCAACACTCACAACATCAATAATAAATGCCAACAACGACTCTACCTCCTGCACAGACTGAGACAACTGAATGTCAACACCCAGATACTCTCCAACTACTAAACTTGCCATATAGAGAGTGTGCTGACTTTCTGTTTCCTGGCCTGGTATGGTGGGCTGTCAGTGGCTAATAAGGATATCTTCAGGCTCCAAGGTCTGCGGGCTGCAGTGCAGGGGGCTTCAATGCCTCTATGATAAACGGGCAAGGGACAAGGCCAAACGCATAATTTAGGACCACACACACAATCTTGCCCAATGTTTCAACAGAGGACCTACCTCCTCAAGGACATCAGCTAGCTTGCTTAGAATCTCCTCCGGAAGGTCATGGAATGTCGGAACGCTGCAGGAAGAAAATAGTCAGTAAGTCAGTGTAGAAGGAAGAATAGAGATCCACAATGTATTGGATATTACAGTGCGTTGACGCTAATAGACACATTGAACAGAAGGCCATGTAATATCGGCAGCTACACAGTCAATAGGTTAGCCTGAATAGAGTTTCTGTTCATCATGCTCTCTCAGTTTACATAACGTTGGTGAATGTATAATCCAGAAATAAACTTTATATAAATACACTATACATGTACTGTAAGTGGTATTCTTTATGTACACACACACACACATACACACACACACACACACACTGAGGTTGAAAAGGCAGGATTTATCGTGATGTTTGTTCTGTGCATTTCCTGGCAGCCCTCTGAATCCTATCTGCTCGTTATCGACATGGACAAAAGAAAACGGACCAATGCTTATCAGAGGAGAAAGCAAATAACCCAGGCATTGGAACAATGGCCTTTATCTCCCCATATCATCTCTCTGTTTCTCCATCTCCCCCTCCCTCTCATTTCCCATGATTTATTACAGTAATCTGAACCCTCTCGCCCCAGCACTGACTCATAGTGCTGAATTTCCTCCATGGACCCCGGCCAGAAAATGGCTGGTCAGATGGCTCATTACAATGAGAAACTTGACCGAGCTATGAAACATTCAGCGCAAACAAAAAGCCTGTGTTATGGAAAGTTCTGTATCTAACAACTAAATTGGGTTGTAATTTATTTATTTATTTTATCATCATGTTGTTTGCATGTTAGGTTCAAAACTGTTACAGTGGAATAGGATGGTGTGTATGTGTTTATGTGAGGATGTACATGCACAGAGCTTAGCCTCCAGTCTTCTCAAATGTGAATGTGAACCATCTGATCTTGAGTGCTGCTGATTTTCATCCCACCCGGCCCTTAACTGATAAATTAAGGTAATTGATAGGATGGATATCTGGGTTACCCAGGTGTAATCAATGTCTAATTTAATGGCAATGATGAAAAGCAGCCGACACTCCAGGGCCGGGTTTCCCGATAGTGATGGCAATTAAAGTAACTGCCCAGTGAAAATCTCACTTTTAAAAGTTCATATTCTGTTAACTCATATCCAAATAATGTTGTTGACTAGTCCTCATATTTGTGGCCAAAGCATAAATAGGAGAAAAAAAACACTTCAAAAACCCCACCTCAAATTTGTTTCTCAAACAGTCTTGCTATTTCCTTATAGAACATGATGTCATCTCCCTGAGGAGGATGGGCTGGCCAATTTTTTATGACCGATAAACGCACACACCATTCTGTTGTTGGGGTATGCCCACACCATTCCAACACAGAAAAGCAGTTTTTTAACATTTTTACATTTTTAGTCATTTAGCAGACGCTCTTATCCAGAGAGATGTACAGTTAGTGAGTGCATACATTTTTCATACTTTTTTTCATACTGTTTTTTCATACTGGCCCCCCGTGGGAATCGAACCCACAACCCTGGCATTGCAAGCGCCATGCTCTACCAACTGAGCTACAGGAGGCCTTAAAGCTGCAATATTACATTTACATTTTAGTCATTTAGCAGATGCTCTTATCCAGAGCGACTTACAGTTAGTGAGTGCATACATTATAATTTTTTTATACTGGTCCCCCGTGGGAATCAAACCCACAACCCTGGCATTGCAAACGCCATGCTCTACCAACTGAGCTACACCCCTGCCGGCCATTCCCTCCCCTACCCTGGACGACGCTGGGCCAATTGTGCGCCGCCCCATTGGTCTCCCGGTCGCGGCCGGTTACGACAGAGCCTGGATTCGAACCAGGATCTCTAGTGACACAGCTTACACTGCGCTGCAGTGCCTTAGACCACTGCGCCACTCGGGGACCCGAGTGTATATTGGCTTCCCGTTCTTATGTTTAGTTTTGCGTTTTTAACTTTAGTTCACCAGTTTCAAACAGCTGAAAATACAATATTTTGGGTTATGGAAAATATATTTCACAGCAGTTTAGATGGTACAATGATTATTTACACTATACTTGCTTGTTTTGTCACATAAACTAAAATTAGGTAAACAATTAGAATTTTAGAAACCAGGAAAAGGCAGAGTGATTTCTGCATAGTGCACCTTTAATATTATACTTTTTTTTGAAGCTCCTAGAGAGATATCATTTATCACCTATATGGCTGCAAATATTGAGGCGGGTTGGCACATCATTGCACACATGTTGTTACACATTATGAAATACATTGAGACAAAAAATGTAGAAAGTAGTCTACAATTGGCAAAGTATAACTTAATTGATTGAACATTAAATTGATTTCAATATGATTGGTTCCCAGGTATATCCCACTAAGCACGGACCAAGGCAGACATCTTTTGGACGTATTTTTTAGGTGCGGTCCAGACCAGCCTTGATTTCAATGTCCACGGACGTTGATTTTTAGTCCAGTCCGGAACAAATCTGAACCAATTATAGACGTCTATGATTTGTTCAGATTTGATCTGGTCCGGACCGACCAAATTTGTACTTTTTGAGGGACGGAGCTCATTAGAATAATACCCAGCATATTTACCAAATGTTTGTTTTAACATTTACATTTTGGTCTTTCAGCAGACACTCTTATCCAGAGTGACTTACAGTCAGTGCATTCAACTAAGTTAGATAAACAACAACATATCAAGGTAATCGCAAGAAAAAATATATATATTTTCAACTTTTATTCAGAAACGAAAATTAACCTGATTTAAACATCCAGAAAATATGTATTTTAGACGTCTTTTCAACGTGATTTTGCTTACTGGGATGTTGCCTATACTGTATTTATCTTTTAATGCAGTGATCTCTGGATTTATTTGAAGCATATTTTTATCCATTGTTTATTTGTAACAATTAAAAACACATTGCAAACATTGCTCTGAAGCTCTGAAGCTACAGAGAGACTGAAACACATTTTGAAATTATGTTTAGCGGATATTGTCTGTGTGTAAAGTGATGTGGAAGGGCAAAAAATTATCTGAAGACTCATTTAGCTATTCTATGAGTCAGTCGTTAAAGACATGCTATGGAACTTTGGCGACTACTAACTATTTTTAAAATCTCCCACTTTTGGCTGGATGTGTCAATGTGTAGTTCATACATGCATAATCTATGAGCAGAATAACTGTCTTACCTCAAATAGCCACGAAATCCCTAGTTTGAAAGCGACTGTATTTCTGTAAGCTGTGCCAGGCCATTTTCTCTACATTTCCCCCCACGTGTGCCAGCCCCCTTGCAATTTGAGTTCTAGCCAATGAGCTTCAGCCCCTTGCCATTTGAGTGACAGCTAGCAGGATGCACACACAGCAGAGTGAGAGAGAGAGCAATGTCGTGGTGCACATACTGTATGTGACGTACAGATGTCGGATCTTAGTTTGATCACTTTTTTGTTGCTTAGAATTTTCCTGCTCGGCAGGAAATGCATACTTGTAATGTATTCAAGGTTTAAAAAGGCTTCTAAAGTTTGTAATTTCCACTTTCAAATGTCAGACTTGATTTTCCCTAACCAAAAAATTATGAACCCCCCCAAAATATGTATATTAATTATAATCCACATAATAATTCACATTTATGAAATTACTTATTGCAGTTACTAATAAGCATGCACCCATTAAGAAAATGACTGTAAAAACTGTTAAATCCCCTGTGGATTGATGAAGAATTGAAACATTTTATAGTTGAGAGGGATGAGGCAAAAGGAATGGCAAATAAGTCTGGCAGCACAACATATTGCAAATTGAGAAATCATGTGACTAAACTGAATAAAAATAAGAATAAACTACACTAGGAAACAAAGATAAATGACATAAATAATCATAGTAAAAAGCTTTGGAGCAGCTTAAATGCAATTTTGGGGAAAAAGGCATACTCAGCTCCATCATTCATTGAATCAGATGGCTCATTCATCACAAAACCAACTGACATTGCCAACTACTTTAATAATGTTTTCATTGGCAAGATTAGCAAATTTAGGCATGACATGCCAGCAACAATTGCTGACACTACACATCCAAGTATATCTGACCAAATTATGAAAGACAAGCATTGTAATTTTGAATTCCGTAAAGTGAGAGTGGAAGAGGTGAAAACATTATTGTTGTCTGTCAACAATGACAAGCCAGGTCAGATAACTTGGATGGAAAATTACTGAGGATAATAGCGGACGATATTGCCACTCCAATATGCCATATTTTCAATTTAAGGCTACTAGAATGTGTGTGCCCCCAGGCTTGGAGGGAAGCAAAAGTAATTCCACTACCTAAGAAAAGTAAAGCCCCCTTTACTGGCTCAAATAGCCAACCAATTAGTCTGTTACCAACCCTCAGTAAACTATTGGAAAAAATTGTGTTTGACCAGATACAATGCTATTTCACAGTAAACAAATTGACAACAAACTTTCAGCATGCTTATAGAGAAGGACATTCAACAAGCACAGCACTCACACAAATGACTGATGATTGGCTGAGAGAAATTGATGATAAAAAGACTGTGGGGGCTGTTTTGTTAGACTTTGTGCAGCTTTTGACATTATCGATCATAGTCTGCTGCTGAAAAAATGTATATGTGTTATGGCTTTACTCCCCCTGCTATATTGTGGATGAAGTGTTACCTGTCTAACAGAACACAGGGGTGTTCTTTAATGGAAGCCTCTCCAACATAATCCAGGTAGAATCAGGAATTCCCCAGGACAGCTGTCTAGGCCCATTACTTTTTTCAATCTTTACTAATGACATGCCACGGGCTTTGAGTAAAGCCAGAGTGTCTATGTTTGCGGCTGACTCAACACTATACATGTCAGCTACTACAGCGACTGAAATGACTGCAACACTTAACAAAGAGTTGCCATTAGTTTCAGAGTGGGTGGCAAGGAATAAGTTAGTCCTAAAATATTCTAAAACTAAAAGCATTGTATTTGGGACAAATCATTCACTAAACCCTAAACCTCAACTAAATATTGTAGTAAATAATGTGGAAATTGAGCAGGTTGAGGTGACTAAACTGCTTGGAGTAACCCTAGTTTGTAAACTGTCATGGTCAAAACATATTGATACAGTAGCTAAGATGGGGAGAAGTATGTCCATAATAACAGCACTATCAACAAGGCAGGTCCTACATGCCCTACTTTTGTCACACCTGGACTACTGTTCAGTTGAGTGGTCAGGTGCCACAAAAAAGGACTTAGGAAAATTGCTATTGGCTCAGAACAGGGCAGCACGGCTGGCCCTTGGATGTACACAGAGAGCTAATATTAATAATATACATGTCAATCTCTCCTGGCTCAAAGTGGAGAAGAGATTGACTTCATCACTACTTGTATTTATGAGAGGTATTGACATGTTGAATGCACCGAGCTGTCTGTTTGAACTACTGGTGCACAGCTTGGACACACACGCATACCCCACAAGACATGTCACCAGAGGTCTCTTCACAGTCTACAAGTCCAGAACAGACTATGGGAGGTGCACAGTACTACATAGAGCCATGACTACATGGAACTCTATTCCACATCAAGTAACTGATGCAAGTAGTGAAATTAGATTTAAATTACAGATAAAAATCACCTTATGGAACAGCGGGGACTGTGAAGCAACACAAACATAGGCACAGACCCATGCATACACACACACGTACACATGGATTTTGTCCTGTAGATATGTGGTAGTGGTGGAATAGGGGCCTGAGGGCACACAGTGTGTTGTGAAATCTGTGAAAGTATTGTCATGTTTTTAAAATAGTTTAACTGCCTTAATTTTACTGGACCCCAGGAAGAGTAGCTGCTGCCTCGGCAGGAACTAATGGGGATCCATAATGAATACAAATACAAAAAAAATCACATTTCCTGTTGCTGTAGGATTGTTAGCCTGCTGTAGCAAACTGGCTCAAATTAAGATCCTACATCTGTAGTACGCAATTTTCGGGGACAGAAAGAAACTCTTTAAATTACGAATGTTTTCAAGTGCAACTTTAGTGACGATGGTTTTGGGAAACAGCTCAGATATTTCATGATGCTCCTACGAATGATTTAATGTTGAACTTTGTTAGCCTTAAGATGCTTTTGGGAAACCAGGCCCAGGACCAGAGCTACACACCCCTGCAGTCCATCTAACAAACTTGACCATGATCAGTCATTTCACATTCTTAGCTATCTCAACTCTGATAGCTGGACTGCTTATTTATTAATATTTTATTAGCAGAGCTGTCTACAAGCAGAGCTTCTTGGGATCTAAAATATATAGTGCGCTACAACAACTACAAAATCACTTTACCTCCCGGGGTATAAAGATCAATAAGATAGCGAGCTAACTACCATAAATATTATGAGACAAGTAGAAAGTCCGCAATAAAGAGCCAGATGTAAGTTTAACTCTCGTTTTCAACCAGGAAATATTGATTTGTATCTGAACGTGTATGAAAGTTAGCTTGCTTAGCTATCAATCCTGCTTTTAGAAATATCTGCTTCAAACACACACCTGCCATACCTGCCATGATACACACTCCACTCAGTCTTAGTTCCCAAAAAGTTTGCTTACAAAAATACACTGCTCAAAAAAATTAAGGGAACACTTAAACAGCACAATGTAACTCCAAGTCAATCACACTTCTGTGAAATCAAACTGTCCACTTAGGAAGCAACACTGATTGACAATACATTTCACATGCTGTAGGGCAAATGGAATAGACAACAGGTGGAAATTATAGGCAATTAGCAAGACAACCCCAATAAAGAAGTGGTTCTGCAGGTGGTGACCACAGACCACTTCTCAGTTCCTATGCTTCCTGGCTGATGTTTTGGTCACTTTTGAATGCTGGCGGTGCTTTCACTCTAGTGGTAGCATGAGACGGAGTCTACAACCCACACAAGTGGCTCAGGTAGTGCAGCTCGTCCAGGATGGCACATCAATGCGAGCTGTGGCAAGAAGGTTTGCTGTGTCTGTCAGCGTAGTGTCCAGAGCATGGAGGCGCTACCAGGAGACAGGCCAGTACATCAGGAGACGTGGAGGAGGCCGTAGGAGGGCAACAACCCAGCAGCAGGACCGCTACCTCCGCCTTTGTGCAAGGAGGAGCAGGAGGAGCACTGCCAGAGCCCTGCAAAATGACCTCCAGCAGGCCACAAATGTGCATGTGTCTGCTCAAACGGTCAGAAACAGACTCCATGAAGGTGGTATGAGGGCCCGACGTCCACAGGTGGGGGTTGTGCTTACAGCCCAACACCGTGCAGGACGTTTGGCATTTGCCAGAGAACACCAAGATTGGCAAATTCGCCACTGGCACCCTGTGCTCTTCACAGATGAAAGCAGGTTCACACTGAGCACATGTGACAGACGTGACAGAGTCTGGAGACGCCGTGGAGAACGTTCTGCTGCCTGCAACATCCTCCAGCATGACCGGTTTGGCGGTGGGTCAGTCATGGTGTGGGGTGGCATTTCTTTGGGGGGCCGCACAGCCCTCCATGTGCTCGCCAGAGGTAGCCTGACTGCCATTAGGTACCGAGATGATATCCTCAGACCCCTTGTGAGACCATATGCTGGTGCGGTTGGCCCTGGGTTCCTCCTAATGCAAGACAATGCTAGACCTCATGTGGCTGGAGTGTGTCAGCAGTTCCTGCTAGAGGAAGGCATTGATGCTCTGGACTGGCCCGCCCGTTCCTCAGACCTGAATCCAATTGAGCACATCTGGGACATCATGTCTCGCTCCATCCACCAATGCCACGTTGCACCACAGACTGTCCAGGAGTTCAGGTCTGGGAGGAGATCCCTCAGGAGACCATCCGCCACCTCATCAGGAGCATGCCCAGGCGTTGTAGGGAGGTCATACAGGCACGTGGAGGCCACACACACTACTGAGCCTCATTTTGACTTGTTTTAAGGACATTACATCAAAGTTGGATCAGCCTGTAGTGTGGTTTTCCACTTTAATTTTGAGGGTGACTCCAAATCCAGACCTCCATGGGTTGATAAATTTGATTTCCATTGATAATTTTTGTGTGATTTTGTTGTCAGCACATTCAACTATGTAAAGAAAAAAGTATTTAATAAGATCATTTCATTCATTCAGATCTAGGATGTGTTGTTTAAGTGTTCCCTTTATTTTTTTGAGCAGTGTAGCTTTAGATTGAAAACAAAATATACCTCCAAACTGCTTTATCTGGTCAGAAAGGTATATCTGGTACAATACAGTACAGTATATCTCCATTATGATGGCAGTATAAAAAGAGCTGAGAAGGCTCTCTACCTTCCTTGACTGCCCTCGCAATGTCACCTATTGAGGGCATCTCCTATTACAGTGAAAGGCTGACTGGTTTCCTGCTTTCACTTCCACCTGGCTGCCACTAGAAGTCAGACTGGAGCGAGTGAGAGAGAATACTGAGTGATTCATGAGGCCTTTGTTCTGAGTAAATAAAATCTGTAAACCTCTGAGTGGTAGTGGGCCCTGCAGGGTATTTCTGAGAACCTCTCAATGGATAAACAATGTTTATGCATTGACGAATTCGAACTATGGGAAACAGATTAACTCTGCATGAATAAAACGCATCGAAAGGTAATGTGATGTCATTCCATTTTCATAAAATATAAAAACAAAAGCAGAGCGAAAGAAAGAAAGAAAGAAAAAAAGAAAGAAAGAAAGAAAGAAAGAAAGACGTCAGATAGTAAAAGACAGAACAGGGGGACAATATAAATAAATAAATTAGTCATTTAGCAGACGCTCTTATCCAGAGCGACTTACAGGAGCAATTAGGGTTAAGTGCCTTGCTCAAGGGCACATCAACAGATTTTTCACCTAGTCGGCTCGGGGATTAGAACCAGCGACCTTTCGGTTACTGGCGCAACGCACTTAACCACTAAGCTACCTGCCGCCCACTAAGCTACCTGCCGCCCAATAAGAGGGACAGACAGAGGGACTTAGAGGGAAAGCAGTGAAGGCAGTACACTTCCAAGGCATCTCATACATCCTGTATGATGTATATGACACTCTCCTCTCCCTCCATCTTTTGATGAGGACTTATTTTATTCCACACAGTGTGTGGGTGCAACGATATGAGTCTATCTGCCTTTAATATGATAATAGACTTCCCCATCTTCAGCCCCTCTCCTCTGCCAAACCCTATGCTAATGTCAACATCAGATGGAGAGAAGAAAGAGAGCAGGAAGAAGGGATGTCTATTTTTTCCGGTACGGTGGATGCTTACTTGCGTAAAAAATGTAAAGGAGACATTATGTAACAATACGAATGGGGAAATGTGACAGTGGGACTTCAATGGTAAATCACTCCAATATCACCAACCCTAGGTCGAATAAGTCTGGTATATTAATAAATATATTTTGTATTGTAGTAGTATCTAGAAGTATAGTCTTTCTGTTCCTCACCTTTTTAAAAACTCCATGTATTCGGTGTGCTTGATCAGGCCCGTTCTCATCATAATAGTCTGAAAGCATTGTCGGTCGATGGCCCATAACTTCACATTGGAGAGAGCTGGAGAGGGAGAGAATGGAGAAGAGAGGAGTGATCAGAATAGTCAGGGAGAAACATGGATAGCAGGTCGTTTTCACAATATAATGAGGTATCATTATTAACCAGGTATCTACTTGGACAACATGGGTGAGTTTTGGAGAGAGATGAGGAGAGAAAGAGATAGTCTACTGTCAGACCCTAAACCAGCCCAGGCTATCCCTTAACAACCCCACAGCAGAAAGGCTTCATAGTATAACAGTAGAATCATTAGCATAACATTAATCACTGATGAATGGCTCCATTTGGCTGAGCTTGTCTGTGCATGTTTATCTGTATGTTGCTTTGTTTGTTTATTTTGGTTCCGACATGTCTACTTTGAGGTCTGTGACACTGTGACACTGACTCATCCACTCCTAATATCATACAGTAGGTTCTCAAACACTCACACACACACACACACACACACACACACACACACACACACACACACACACGCACAAACACAAACCACAAATTCATGGACAAACATACACTTGTGGGCAGGCAAGATAACAGACACATACACCCACCCATGAGCACCCCCACACACCTCCCAGGAGCAACACTTGAGCCCAGTGTTAGCTGTGTATTCAAACACAGGAGAGCACAGGAGAGATTTTCTCGTTAGACATTCAGGCTCTTTTTAGTCCCAGTTAGATCATTTCTATTAACAGTCTGAAACTATCTGCAGCCCTCGTACCAACTAATGAGGAAGGAGACCGCAACAAACACTCTGCATCCTTCTTTCAGCACTAAATAACTAAAACACTGAGGCTGGGTCCCATTCCAAAAACCTACTTCTCTTGGGCCTAGATAACTCACACACATGGAGCTGAAACACTGGTTAAATTGACACAATATAGCAGATGGAGATTTCACAGCCTAGTAAAAAGGCTTAGTGAAACGACCTTGTCACAATATTGCTTTCAGCTTTCCAGTGCTATCAGGCTGTCCAGCGCATGAAATCAAGGGCAGATGAAACCCACTGGGCAAAGACGTCAATTCAACGTCTATTCCACGTTGGTTCAGTGTAATTTAATTGAAATTATTGATTCAACCAGTGTGTGCCCAGTGAGAAGGGAGCATGTTTTTGTAAAGGTATCCAACCTATGATTGCTAGGGAACAGACTGCCATTCCAGACCTCTAAAACCCAAGCCTCAGGGAAGAGGGCTAGAAAAGCTTTTGGAGTAACACTCCTGTTAGGCCCTAAAGCAACAACCGTTAAAAGGAGAGACGTGGTGGTATAAACACAGAGCCAACAGAGTGCTACATCGGTAAGTGGGCAATTCACAGGGTATGGGGAAATCAGATATTGAGAGGCCTGGAGCACATTGCAGTGAAGGTAAGTGGGTTATTTGGAGACTTGACTAAATTGCAGTGAGACTTAGGGAGCTAGTTAGCCTGCAGTGTGTGTAGATGAATGTCTTAATGCTTGTGAGCCGTTGGCCATTAGCTTGACAGCTTATCACAGGGGCAAACTAAAGCCACTCCAGGCCCTGGGTAGAAAAACAGGCAGGGAGGGAGGTGGAATAGGAAGGGGCTTGAGAAGTGTGGGAGTCTGGTATTAACGGAATTATGTTGAAGTGGACTGAGAATACATGCATGACGCATATTGCATATGAAGTACCCCACAAGAACCAGCACACACATAAACGTGTGTATATCTCTAAGTACACAGATACACACACACACACACACACACACACACACACAAGCACGCAGGCACACACACAGTCACACACACACTTAGGATCTCATAATCACTTATAGAAATTGGAACAACACTATTGCTAACACAAAATAAGGTGTGTGATCAAGTCTGCTACTGTCTTCATCATACGAAGGACAAGTCCCATCAGGATTTATGTTCCCACAGCAGACCGAGTGTGATCTCACCTCAATTTGGTGTCATTCACAGTTTCTGCTTCTACCATGTCCTTGACAGAACAGCTCTGCCTGTCTGTTCAATACCTGCACTGCAAAAATCATTTTACTCGCCCATACATTTCTTCCCCACTTCCCCTATCCTAAAGCGGCAGTAGATTAGCCCTGATAGTCTGTAGGTGTTTCCCCTCCCCCTTCTTAAACTGTCCGACTAGCTATTGGGGAGGTTCTTGTTATTATCCTAGCAGGTAAAAGTGCAGTGATGCGACCATCACTCAAAAAGCACCTGTTCAGAGGACATCTGTGCTAAGTCATATAAGACAATTATCTAACATTACCTGGCTCAGTCCTGTAAAATATTGTATTTTCAGCTGTTTGAAGTTGAAAGTAAAAGACGCAAAAACATATCTTAAGCATGGGAAGAATGCATAAGACTTGCTTTCAATGAGAATGACAGTCCCCTGTAGCTCAGTTGGTAGAGCATGGCACTTGCAACGCCAGGGTTGTGGGTTCGTTTCCCACGGGGGGCCAGTATGAAAATGTATGCACTCACTAACTGTAAGTCGCTCTGGATAAGAGCATCTGCTAAATGACTAAAATGTTTTAAAACATGTAAATCTATAACTCATCACAGTTTAGATAAACATGTGGTCTCTAGATTAAAAAAACTAAACCATACTTATAAATGTTACAAACCTGAAAACAGGATGAATAAGCATACACAGACACATTTTTCCTATGGGCTTCTCGTCCTGCTTCTCTTCTTCTAACGTACGAGGTGCATGCCTGCAGCTAACAGTTCGAATGTCTCCCCGTATTGCTAGCGCTAAGTATACATGAAGCTATATTAAAGCAAAACCATGGAGGACTACAATAATAATGATGTGAACAAACAAACTTTGATTCCAAAGTACTAGAATCTATCACATGACATGTGTTGTTGTTGTAAGGGTAATAATATAAGCCAGATAGGCCTATCACGTACATGACCATATGTCAGTCATAAGTCCCAAAGAGGATGTTTTATCCTGCTTCTGCATTCATCCCAGTCATCAGTGACAGAGCATTGGGCTAGGTATATGTTTGACATCAATGTGTGTACAATTTCAATGGTAATAAAATTGCCAATTATAGGAAATGTAATATAATATACTATTTACAAGTAGAATGGAATGGTTTGCCTTGTGTGGTAGGATTTGTGAGCTTAAGCAGCCATAACATTTTGCTATATACAGCTGCGGAAAAAATTAAGAGACCACTGCAAAATTATAATTTTCTCTGGTTTTACTATTTATAGGTATGTGTTTGGGTAAAAATAACATTTTTGTTTTATTCTATAAACTACTGACAACAGTTCTCCCAAATTCCAAATAAAAATATTGTCATTTAGAGCATTTATTTGCAGAAAATGACAACTGGTCAAAATAACAAAAAAGATGCAGTGTTGTCAGACCTTGAATAATGCAAAGAAAATAAGTTCATGTTCATTTTTCAACAACACAATACTAATGTTTTAACTTAGGAAGAGTTCAGAAATCAATATTTGGTGGAATAACCCTGATTTTCAATTACAGCTTTCATGCGTCTTGGCAAGCTCTCCACCAGTCTTTCACATTGATGTTGGGTGACTTTATGTCACTCCTGGCGCAAAAATTCAAGCAGCTCGGCTTTGTTTGATGGCTTGTGACCATCCATCTTCCTCTTGATCATATTCCAGAAGTTTTCAATGGGGTTCAGGTCTGGAGATTTGGCTGGCCATGACAGGGTCTTGATCTGGTGGTCCTCCATCCACACCTTGATTGACCTGGCTGTGTGGCATGGCGCATTGTCCTGCTGGAAAAAACAATCCTCAGAGTTGGGGAACAATGTCAGAGCAAAAGGAAGCAAGTTTTCTTCCAGGACAACCTTGTACGTGGCTTAATTCATGCGTCCTTCACAAAGACAAATCTGCCCGATTCCAGCCTTGCTGAAGCACCCCCAGATCATCACCGATCCTCCACTAAATTTCACAGTGGGTGCGAGACACTGTGGCTTGTAGGCCTCTCCAGGTCTCCGTCTAACCATTAGACAACCAGGTGTTGGGCAAAGCTGAAAATTGGACTCATCAGAGAAGATGACCTTACTCCAGTCCTCTACGGTCCAATCCTTATGGTCTTTTGCAAACCTCAGCCTGGCTCTTCTTTGCTTCTCATTGATGAAGGGCTTTTTTCTAGCTTTGCACGACTTCAGCCCTGCCCCCAGGAGCCTGTTTCGAACTGTCCTCGCCGTGCACTTCACCCCAGCTGCCATTTGCCATTATTTTTGTAGGTCACTTGATGTCATCCTACGGTTGTTGAGTGACATTCGAATAAGTTGGCGGTCATCCCGGTCAGTAGAGAGTCGTTTTCGCCCTCTGCCGGTCTGTAGCTTTGTTGTCCCCAATGTCTGCTGCTTGACCTTGTTCTTATGAACCGCCGTCTTTGAAATTTTAAGGATGGAAGCAACCTGACGCTCACTGTATCCCTCTGCCAGTAAAGCCAGAATTGAACCCTTCTTTTCCTCACTCAAAACTTTCCTTTTCAACTCTTTTGGCATGGTCAATAGTTATTTTTTGATTAATATTACTTTTGAGGTACTATTAGCACTGTTTTTGCCATCCAGCTGGTCCTATTGCAAGAGGATAGTGATGACCACAGCAGTGGTTTTTATACTTTTCCTCGTTAAATAAGATTTGGTTCAGATGATCACCTAATCAGTACCAAATTCAGTAGAATGAGGTGTGCCTGTGTTGGAATTCAACAGACACTGGAATGGAATGGCTGTCATACATGTAGAGATGCTGATTTAAGAAAAATGTGCAGTGGTCTCTTAATTTTTTCCAGAGCTGTATGCCACAATACATCTAAATATATGTCTCATGACAGTGTTGTGACAATGTTATGACAGGTTATGTCAGCTCTTATGACATATTATACCTTAGTTATGACCGTGTCATAACGTGTTATGATACTAGGTGTCAAATAAAGTTTTACCGCTGACATATTACCTCTCTCTCCTTCATTCCTTTCTCGAGCGCGCAGAGTTAGGGGCTGTCAACAGCTTACTTCAATATGTTTCG